GGGCAGAGGCACACTGAAGCACCAAGCCACAAGACTATCTCCCCAGACAGGGCACCTTTAAAAAAATCTATCCTTACAGGGGAAGAGGGGGAGGAAGATTGAAGCTTGTGTGTGTGTGTGTGTGTGTATGTGTGTGTGTGTGTGTGTGTGTATGTGTAGTCCACTGTTTTAGAATTTTCCCCAAGCATCCATCAGTTTGCCAAGCTCTATGCCAGCCCTGTGCCAACCCTGAGGTGCCACACAAACCAGCAATGACCTCAGCTGTGTGGTGGGGCATGCAAGAGAACCTCTGCCAGCTAATGCAGGGCAGCCATAAGCTGTCAGACAAAAATATTTTTCAGTTCCTGCTGACTGGACCTGGGTCTGAACCAGTGACCTCTCAGTAAAAATCTCTCGACTCCATTAATTCAGCCAGCTCAGCCCAGCTCCTGATTATGGTTGAGTCCTGAAGTCAGAGCCTTTGGCTGGGGACCCAATGCTTGCTGAGGTGCTCTGTGCAGGAATATACTGGATGAGCTTGGAGCTGGCTTGCTCTACTGCCTGTGCTCTCTCCTATCCCAATTAGTCCAGGCTGGGGGTGGGAGTGTCACTAGAGGAGATGTGACTGGTCCGTGTAGTATGACAGCTCATCAGAGCAGAGCTGTTGGTCATGTCAGTCCTATGCCAGAAGCTGATGGAGGCAAGGAGATGAGAACTCTGTGGGTGTGGGGGCATTTTCTGAGTGAGGTTGTACGTGGCTGTGTTTGTGTGAGGTTTTGCATTGCATGTGGTTGTATGAGGTTGAAGTTTTGTGTGTGGTGTGTGCATGTGGTGTGTAAAAGAATGCAAGTGTGGTTATGCATTTTTATGATTGGAAGTATATAGGTGTGCAGTTGTGTGTTTATTGTATGTTTGCTGTAGGATGCTGTGCATATTGAGTGCAACAGTGAGACAGAAAATTTGAGAAAGAAGGTTAGAAAGAGAAGATGTAGGAGGTAAAGTGGTAGATCCAGGAAGGAAGAAGAAAAGTTGCTAATGGAAGAGATGCAATGATTGAGAGAAAGGGGAAGAGCCTGTCCTTTAGGGCTGGTGGTTCTCAGAAGCAGAGGACTGGAACATTCTCTACCAAATGAATGTTCTGAGGTCCCCATCAAGATGCCAGGTGAAAGGGGTAATGGAGAGAGGAGAAGCAAGAGCAACCCCCCTGCCTCCACTTGAGTGCCCAGCAGAGCTGCAGACTGCCACTCAGGCAGCACATCACTATGTCAAGTGACAAGCCCCAGGGGCCCTCAGCTCCAGGACTCTTATTCTCAGCTTGGTGAAGTGAGGCTCCTGAACCTCAAGATATGGAGTCAAGCCTGCTGTACTCTCACCCCTAGACCCTCAGGTCAGCAGTCCTCAGGTGGGTGGAACTCAGGCTCTCAGTGGTCCTTGGGTCAGGGCAAGGACAGTGCAGGAAGGAAGTGCTACTTTCCTTTGACTTCACGGGAAGGAGAAATGAGGCATGGGGCAGTGAAGCAGGTTTGCCAGAGTCCATTTACTCTACACATCAACCTGCTGCATGAAAGGTGGGAGGTTAGGAGCTCACACTCTCGGGAAGCAGGCCAACTCTGTGGGTGAGGAAGTTATTCTTGCGTGTTCCACGTGGTATGCTGCTAAGGCCAAGAGTGACCTGTGCTGAGGGCAAAGTAAAACCCCATCACTGTTCACCTCACCTTTGGCACAGCTGCTAAATCATGGGCTTCAAAGGCCTGGCTAGGAACACACGAGGAGGTGCTAAGTACCTTGCAGAAACCTTCTATTCTCAAGTGGTCCCAATGGCTAGAACTTTTTCAGAGCTAATGCCCATGATCTGGCAATATATCTTCCCTTCTCTCTTCTTCCAGTCGTTTATACCACTCAAATCTTCAGTGGGGTCAGACAGACTTTATGATAAACACATGTCCATTGATTGATTGAAAACAGAGGCTCACAAATTGCGATTCTCTCCAAAATTCATACTAGAAGACAGAATTTCTCCTTTCCTCTTTTGTCAATCCCTGGAGTCCATTTTCTGGAAACAGAACCAAATTAGAGGAAGAGAGGGAAGAAAACCAAGTCTAAAGCACTGACTATGCACAAGCTGCTGTGTTTTCACATCAATGTTTTAGGCACTGCTGAGCTGAGCTAGACCAGAGGAAGTTGGCAAATGTTCAGTGAGGGATTCTCAAACTAAGCAGCACTTTCCAGGGTGAGAGAAGGGGAGAAAAGAGAATGGGGGTGGAAGCCACCTCTGCCACTACTCACCCATGACTCCACTTCCAAAGATGCCAAACATTGGCCCAAAAGTCCCAGCTCATCAGAAACCCCAGCTAGCAGCTCAGGCCTCCACTGGCAGAGGTAGTTAGAATCTCATGTCAAAATCCTTATCAGGTAAGTGAGGCTGGCGAAAGAATCATGGCCTCCCCCAGAAGGCTGGAGCTGCAGCACACCCAGATTATTGAAAGCAGCTGAGGACAGGGGAAGACTAGTGGATCAGAACCCAACTGAAATAGATTCTCTCCAACCCATTATGTATAAAAGCAAAGGGCAAGGTGTCTGCCAAAGATGAACATATCCCTGCAGCAAGCTGCTTTTAAAGATTGTGTGCCAGCCAGGATGGGGAGAACTGGGAGGACATCCTCTTCCAGATGAAGCAGTAAGGTGACCAGGCATGTTGACCCATGGGCTCCACTTCATTCTTGCTTGTGTGTACTGGTGCACCAAATACCTCCCTTCTTCATCTTCAGAATGATCCCTTTGTAAGAAACCAGGAAGGCTAGTTGAAGATCTTGGCAGCAAGACCCCAGGAGCCCAGGACTTTGTCAAAAGGCTCAGAGCTTTTTTAAGCACTGCTTCTTCAGTCTCCCCAGCCATCAAATGGGAAGAACGGTCCCTGTCCTGCCTCTCTCATAGCGTCATTCTGTGAGCCAGAGGACTGATGTCTATACACTCTGGAGGACTGCTCACAGAGACCACAGCTGCAAAGCCTCACTGCTGCAGGATCAGGCCACTGGGATAACTCCAGGAAGTGGCAGGTATGGTGGGGAGGAGGGCCTGCTAGAAAAAAGTAACCTGGACTTACACATGAAGTCCTTTTGGTATCATTTTTTTTTTTGCCTTCATCGCTGTTCTTAATTTTTCTTTCACCAATTTTTTTCTGGATGTAAATTTTTGAGGTGGATCTGGGTTGAATGCTAGAAAATTGACCCCTGATTTAGATGCCTAGATGCATACTGTGTGCAGAACACATAGTGTGGATGAATTCGAGACCCTCTATGGGAGAATAGAGTGACTTCAATGCAGTGTCATCCCCTCTCTGGACTCAGTTTCCACAAATTTAAAATGAAAGCATTGAACTAGCAAGAGGATCTGATGAAAGGCTGCATGCAACATGAATCACGCCTTCTGACCAACTAGGGTGGTAAGTCAGAGTTGAGAGACAGGCACAGAGCAGAAACAAAACAATAACTCTACCATTTTGTCGTGAGCTATTTAGCTCATTCAGTTCCTACAATGCCCCAGCCAGCACATGGGCTGGGAATAGCTCCAGAGGCAGGCCCTGGGGACCTCAGTCGCCCTGGGCCCTGTAGGAAGATCACTGACCCAACCAGCAGAAAGAGAATTTTCCTACGGATTATAGATCTTTATTGACTGGTCATGTAACCCTGGCAAATCCTCTCATCTTTCTGTGTGCCTCAGTCTCTCTATCAGTAAAATCTGTTGTATACCTCCCAGGCTTGCCATGAGGATCAAGTGAAAAGATAGTTATACAAACCCTGTGAAGGCATAGACTGTCCACAAATAAGTTTCTGTTATTCAATATTTATGGGACTCTCAAAAAATACCCAGAGTTATCACAGACATTGGAGAGGGAGTGAGACGTTGGTGAGGACGGACCCAGAGACCACAGCTCCTTGGATGCATAGAGCTCCTGTTGGATTATAGGAGAGAGGAACAACTCCAGAAAGTAGCTGGACAAATCATGGAGCACTGAGTCTACAAGTCCCAGAAGTGGAAGGAAGTTCATTCCTCTCTACTGACTCAGCAGAGGCTCCAGGAGAAACAGAACAAGAGTTGGGGCCTTAGAGATAGGAGAGGAGGCTCCAGGCGTACAGAGCCCTGGGAGTGAGGGGCATGCCTCCAGGAATAGCATTAATGTCTGGCACCCACCGCTGCCTGAAAGACACTGTGCCCAGGCACAGTCAGGATGTGTGTCAACATTATCGCGATGCTTAGAGTTCTTGGGTTTGGGCGGTGCCCCCAAGTAATGTTCCATTCCATTCTTCAGTTACATGTACATCCCACTCACACTGATTTCCTGCCCTCCACCAGACATCTGGTAGAAGAACCAGGCAGCCCAGTCAACAGTGAGAATGGAGGTCACAGACCCATGACCAAGCAAAGCCATGCTTGCTGAGGCACCAGACACACAAATGCAGAAGTATTTCAGGCATTCCAACCCCAGCTGACTTCATGAGGAGCAGGAATGAGCCATCCCCACTGTACCCGTCTGAATTCTTAATTAACCCCAGAGCTTATGAGAAATGAAAAAGATAGTCACTGTTTTCAGCCCACCTAAATGTTGGTGTAATTGAGAATGAAATAGGAACTCAGAGCAGGGGTGGGGCTGTGGAGAAGCACTTCTTGCAGGAACATCAAGGAAGACTTGGCAGGGGCAGTGGGTTTGGGTTGGGCTTTGAGAGAAAAGGGTTTCTAGACCTTTTCATCCTGCCTCAGGTTGTACCGCTCCACCCAAGAAGAGGCCTCCCGCTGCTTCACAGCAGGGCGGGAGTAAAGCAAATGTCTTCCCATAGCCAGGGATTGTTCTGCAAATCCCTAATCAATGAAGAAAAATTCAAAGAGATTAAGGTAGCTGCCATACTGCATGTGCCTCCTCTCCCTGCTCCCTGCTGGACATTTCTCTCCCTGACTTTATTTTCTCCCTCTTTATTTCCTCCCCCTCTACATCTGTTCATCCTCTGTCCCTCCTCCCTCCCTCCACTCTTCTCTCTCCTTCCCTCCAAGAACTTCTTCCCTAACTCTGTCTCTTTGCCGCACCTCTCTTTCTCCTGCCTCCACGGCAGCTCTCTGGCCTTTAGAGGCTGCATTCACTGCTCATAAATTTAAGACCAGACAAAGCTGCTCTTTTGATGGACCTAGAAGGTGGCATTCCTGCTTTCATCCCCAGCCGCTGACACTACCCAACCTCAAAGGCAAAGAGCTTGGCCTCCTGACACTTGCCTGTCTTCATGTTTTAGGAAGAAGAGAGCAGAATTGGAGCATGGGGGGTTAGGACCAGAAACCACAGGTGAGCAAGGAAGGGAGGTGGATTCAAGCTTGTGAATAGTAGTTGTCAGAAATCCAGATTTGGGCAAGAATAACCATGATGATATGACGTGGTGGTTCATAAAAGCTGGTGTTTACTACATCACCCTATCAGCGTCTCGAGGCACTATTCTATATGTCTTGTTTCCTTCCTCCTGTGGGGTCTCTCCTAGTTACTCCAGTCATCACGTCGGGTCCCACTGTGAGTCCCACCTCTTCCACAAAGCCCGATGGACTCATTCCTATAGCCCTGAGCAGCCCTTTTGCACAATTTGGCTCCTGATCATTCCCTGGCCTGTCTCCTCTTGGTGTTGCCTGTGTGTAAGTCTTATCTCCCTACTGGGCCTCCCCTAGGGCCCCAGCCAGGCCTAGTGCTTTCTCTGTAACTAGGCAGAGTCTGGCTGGGTGCTGGGAATCAGGTAGGAGATTGATAATGTATAATCGATTAATTGATAACTAGTCTCATCCAAACCTGTGAGGCAGGCAGGGATGAACATCTTCTTTCTATTACTGTGATGTCAAACAGAATGGAGCTGGAGGGCATCCGTTACCTATCCTCGGGACCCAAAGAATATAGTTATTTCATTAACTCTGCAAGACATTCCATGGTCTGGGTGTGGGGGACAGGGTAGGAAGAAGAGGCCAAGAAGGCCTATGACTGGCTTCCCTCGGGATGGGGGTACCCTCAGGGTCTCACCTGCTCAGCTGTTTGGGGTGGAGGTCATGTCTACAGAGTGAACACTTATAGTGCCTCAAGAATAATGACCAAGATTTCAGATTTGGTTTCAGATAGAATCGTATTCAAATCCCATTTGGGCTAGAAATATCTCTAAATTTTGTTCTTCTGTGAAATGGGTTTAATGTCTACCTCACTGATTTGTTAAAAGGATTACATGAGATAATTCATGTAACATCCTCAGCATAGCCCTTGGTAAGTGGACAAAAATTGACAGATACTGTTATCTTTTGAGGTCACAGGCTCCATGCTGCCTGGGCCTTACTGTCAAGGAGCCATTAGAATCCAGGAGCCACAGAATCCTCCTTCAGCTCCCCAAGCAGCCACACTGGCAAGGGATCCACCCACCCTGGGCTCTGGCCCCTCACTCAGGGACGCTGCCCTCTCTTTTTCCCCTCAGAATCCCAAGTGAGACGCTGGTGCCAGTCAGGCCGGGTCATTGCAAGGGTTCATTCCCAGGAGGAGTACGAGGAAGAAGAGTACTGCATCTTAGGAGCAGGGGGAAAACAGCCCCCTAATGAAGCCTTTGTAGTGCACAGGCAGGCAGAGGGCTGCCCTGGACTGCTAATTCACTGGCAAGGCGAGAAAGATGAAGCAAGCTTGCAAGTAGAGGACAGGGATAAATGGCTTGTTAGCAGCATACACAGAAAACACACAAGGGTTTTTGTTGACTCTAAGTTCACCATGAACCAAGGATGTGATGGGATGAGAAAAAAAGCCAACAATAACCTACAGACAGGGAAAAGCCTAAATGGATGATTATGATATAGTGACTGAAAAGAAGGAGGGGGAAGTCCTACACTACTCTGTTAGATTACGGTTCTCAAGCCTGGCTCTCACCCTTTAAATGCCAGAAGAGACAGTGTGTTTAGAAAAGAACAGCCAAGACGGCTGAGGTTGGAGAACTGTGACTTACAGGAACCAGCTGAAAGACCCAAATACTTTTAGTCTGGGGAACTGGCGAGTCCAAGGGCATCATATCACCCAATTGACAGGAAGTCTGAAAGGGATTCACTCTTCCATGGGAACTCAGAGGAGATATTGACTGGGGAGGGGGGTAACATGGAGATGGACTCCTGTCCAGAATAAAGAGCTCACCAGCATTTAGAACTGTCCGAGGGTGGGCCCCAGGGGAAGGCAGTGGGCTTATGTGGGCAGCATGTGAACAGAGTCTGGACCTCACTGTGGGGAGGCCAGAGACCTGGTCACTCCTGTCTTAGGAAGGAGGTTAGGCTGCATGGCTAAGGGGACCTGTCTAACCCTCAGTAGCTATTTGATGAATAGCTAATTCTTTGCATTGTTTTTCTCCTTGACCAGCTGCGACCAGCTGCAGCCAGCTTGCGTCTGGGCAAAAACATGGACCTAGGCTTCCTCCCTGTGGGGTTGGCCATGCAGGACCTGGGAGAAGAGGGTGACCTGGTTATCTTCCCCAGCTGGGATAAATTCCTATCAGAAGGGGCAGAGCGGTGGAGGTATGGTATCCAGGAAGAGAATAGAGGGGCCTCTTGCCAAACACCCACTGCATCAGGTGTAATATGGGTGTGAATGCCTGCAGGTAAGTGAAGGAAGGAGTGAGGTATAAAAGTGGACTGCTCTGATAGCTGGTTGAAACCTTTCTGAGGCAGGGAAACAGGGAAGGGAAAGGTAAGGTGGTCAGGGCAGAACTCTAACATGTGGTAGGCTACTCTGAAAAAATCAGGGATTTCAGAATTTCCTAGATCATCTAGAACCTTTGTGAGTCTTCTATTTTCAATTGCAAAGCTTCCCTAGAACTGTGTGAACTTCTCCCAAACATACTGTTCATTCCAATGACCATAGGACAGGTAAAAGATGTCAACATTTACATAAACAACCAATGAAAGATTCAGGTTAGAATAAGCCTACTTTTCTGTTTATTGTACTCATAATCCAACTTGGTAAATGTGATCGGCACAGACTGACAAAAATCAAAGGCAGAAGAGGCTGGAATGTGGGGCTGTTAGGAAACACGCTCTAAAATGACAAAAACAAGGAAATATAACAGAAGGAAAAACTTCCAGGGATGGCCCAAAGACAGCATACCTGAGTGAATTTGCTTAGTGAAGGTAGACGAAACAAAAACCAGTCAAAAGGATGACAGAATCTAAAGAGGGTGACTCTAACTTCATACCCACCTGAAAGAGTGAATGATACAGCTAATGTTCACATGAGCAGAAATACTGACAGCTTGGTCTCAGCATTAACCAATTGGTCTTCTAAATGCTGGACATTGACTGGAAATGAAGAAATAATTGTGGCACAGTTTTGTTTTGTTTTATTTCTGCCACAACCCTGGGAAAGTTGACTTACCACTTTGGGGATTTTATTTAAAATCAGGGTGTTGGATGAGGTGACTCGATTTCTAAAGTGTCTTTGAGTCCCGGTGTTCTAATTCTCTGGCCCAAACCCATGCTGTCCGTGAGCTGGTTTTCCTCCGTGTGTAAGAGACTACTGCCAGGCCCAGCTCCTTGGCTGGCTTCCAGGTGGTGACCTCAGGACTGCTGTGGCACTCCCTGGGGCCCAGGAGGCAGGCGGGTGTGTGAAGAGGAGGAGGAAACTGGAACTTTTCTCACATTGTTCACTCACATCCTAGAGGGTCCATCAGAGGACAGCCGAGGGAGAGCATGAGACCCAGAGAAGGTTCCTTTATATCAGCGTGGTTCATAAGAGCGGCCACACAGAGCTGTGGTGTCACCTCATAGCACATTTGGTCTGGGGAGCAATAAAAGTGATTCTACTGATGAAAAGGAAATGAATAGTTGCCACTAGTCTTTTACTCGCTTATCTATTTCTTTATCCCACATTTGTGTGTTTCACCTGTAACAGGCACTGTTTGACACTGGAGATAAAAGGGTAGAGAATTCCCTTCACCTTTTCTAGTCCTAAGTGTTTTAGAGTTCAGCGAGGAAGTCAGGAGGCAGTTAGGCCATAAACAGGAAATGCCCTGCGATTATTACCTTCATGGTACAATGGAACTAGGGGCACGTATGTCTAGGTCTGCTTAAAAGAGTCCAGGACAGCAGACCCTACAAACTCCTGCTTACTGAATACCTACTATGTGCCAAAACTTGAGTAATGACAAAGATCATTCCATCCTCTTGGAAGGGAACAGTCTCTTGAGAAACCTTTCTAATTTATCATAAGCAAAAAAAAAAAAAAAAAAAAAAAAAAAACTTAGTCATATATTAAATTTCTAATGAGTACCTGTCCTGTCTCAGGGGTGTTAAATATATGACTAAACTCAAACGTCGTATAACCCTGAGAGGTGAGTATTATTTATTGTACCCATTATACAGATGAGAACATTAAGACTCAGAGAGGCTGTGCGACTTGCCCAAAATGAACTAGGGCAATTCTTGTCTGCAGTGTCCTTTAAGATGGGACATTGCCTGGCTTTATCTCTCTGGCCAACAGTCCAAGGGTGTTGGTGCTTTGCCCTCCTGCTTCTTGTATCCTAAGGAGCAGCTTTCTAAACCTGCTGTCATGGAACGAGGGCTCCCTGCATTCCCTTGACCACTGTTAGAACCCCAGCCTCCAAACCACCAGAGCTCCAGGCCAGCCTCAGGCCCTGAGGGAGGCTGTCGGCCACATGAAGTGAGGCCAGTCACCTCCTCTCCTCTCTCCAATGTCTCTGTTCTTATCTCAGCTGCTGACGCCTCCAGAGAGCTGCCCAGTGCTCCCAATATAATGCTGCAAGCTCCATGCTGCCAAGTCCATCACCAGTGAAGCCAGCCTACTCCTACTGGCAGGAAGGAGGTCTGGCTGGCTGGACCCCGGGTTGCCCCAACAGAATATTCAGTTCCCACATCTCTGAAAACCCATTCTGGATGCTTCAGGGCCTTGCTTTTGAATCAAAACTTTCTCAGCTCCCTAGATTCATTGTTGTTGTTGCTTATAGAGACAGGTTCTCTTTCTGTCACCAGGCTGGAGTCTAGTGGTATGATCAGAGCTTACTATAGCCTCGAACTCCAGGCTCAAGCAATCCTCCCACCTCAGCCTCTGCAGTAGCTAGGACTAGAGGCACGCACACCTCCATGCATGGATAATTTTGGAAAACATTTTTTATAGAGACAGGGTCTTACTATATTAATCTGGGTGGTCTTGAACTCCTGGCCTCAAGCGATCTTCCTGCCTCAGGCTCCCAAAGTGTTGGGATTACAGGAGTGAGCCACCATGCCCAGCTGCTCCCCTCTGTAATCACACTGTTCCTTCTTCCTGAATGACCTTCCTCATCCTTCTTTGCCACTTGAAAACCTGCTCTTCCTTCAAGGCCTGGATCATACACCACCATCTCCATGACATCTTCCTTCCCTCCCTAAGCCAGGCCTTGTCTCTCCATCCTCTGTGCTCTCCCCACAAAATGGCACTTTGTACACGTGGTCTGCTCTGTGTGGCAGTTCGTTGTGGACAGCAAGTCTCTCTCATGAGCCTGGAAGCTGTGACAGTGAGGACCATGCTTTACCTTTCCATTTAAACCCCAGCCCAACCTAATGCTTGATAAACATTCATAAAATATAAGAAAATAAAGAGGCAGGAAGTGGAACCCATCCAGCTTGTATGTGAATACATCATCCCTTATTCATTCTTAAACATTTCTTAATCACCTGCTGTGTGCTGGGAATTATGCCATATGCTAGGGACACAAGGGTGAATAAGGCCCTTCTTTGAGGAGTTTCCAGTCTGATTGGTGAGGCATACAAGTAAACTGGGAATTTCACATCAGAAGTAGGCACAATTAACACACACTGGGAGATACAGCTACAAGAGGATGGGCGTTGTCGGGGAATGCTGCTGGGAGCAGCTGATGTGTGGGATGAAACAGCACGGGGAGCCGTAGGTCCTGCTTCTTGGCATCCTCTCTTCCCTGACTTCCTCTCCTGATTGTTCGTGCACCCACTTCCTTCTCTCCTCCTGCCTGTACCTTCTTGGTCAGATACACTTTTCTTGTATGTTGCAAAAGGATCTGGTTGCCCCAGCTGGTGGGAATGGAAGGACAAGTTGGAAGAACTCAGGGAGAAAGCACTAGTCAGTAGGTCAGCCAATGAGACACAATCTATCATGCCCTTGCTAATCAAAGTGTAGGCACGGATTGGCACTGTTAGCGTCACCCAGGGGCGTGTTAGAAATGCAGAATCTCAGGCCTCTCCCCAGATCTACTGAATCGGAGGTCACATTTTTAACAAGGTCCCCAGGTGGTTCATATGCTTATTATTCACATTGTAAAAGCCCTGGTCTAATCCATACCTTTTGATGAGCTTTAGTGGGAGCAGACTCAGAATCCTGTCTTGTAGAAATGGGGTCTGGGGGCGTCTCTTGTGTACCATCTACCCAAGAAATTTGCATAAGGTAAATTAACAGATAAAGTATCTTACCAGAGAAAAGAAGTCAGTATGAGAGACACACGGGGAGGAAGGGTAGCCCCACATGTTTTGCTGGACCTCAGTTTGAGTGGTCAGGTGGCTTTAAAGGCAGTTGTTGGAAGAGAGATGTCTAAGTGTCATCGTCAGCCCCAGGCTCTGCTTCCTGCCAACTGCTGTGTCCCTGCACCTCCACCCATGCCTGCAACCTGGCATCTCCACAGCAGGGAGGGTGCTTTTCCTAAGCATGGCTGTTCTGGGACTCACCCGCTGGGTACTGGGATGCAATGCACCCTTCGCAGGAGGTAGTGCCCTGACTCAAGTGCCCTGGGACTGGGCAAAAGGGAGAAGCAGAACTTTGTGGCTATCAGGAACACTGACACCTGGCATCTCAGAAAAAGTCAGGGACTTACACTAGACACAGCTGTAATGAGCATAAGAATTTCCATTTATTGAGCACCTACCATGACCGGCACCATGCTAATATTACATATATTCTCTCTAATGATCTCAAGAGCTCTACAAAGAAAGCAGCCTTACCTCCCTCTTAAAATCGAACAACTGAGGCTAAAAGAAGCCAGGGACTTACATGAGTTCACACAGATGGCAAGAGATAGGGTTGTGATATACACTCAGATCTGTTTACCCCAAAGCCTGCAGGTTCCCACGACCTCTCACCTCCTTGGCCTGGTGTGCATAGGGCCCTGGGGTGTGGCAGCCCCACTTGCTCAGTTCCAGCGTGTTGGGCCTCTACAAGGAGGATGATTTCCAAGGCTGAGTGAGAGCTGCACTGGGAGGCAGCTTCGCCTAGGAGCTTGCCCAGCTGATTCCCCAGAGGCCCTCCTCCTTTGTCAGAATCCAATCACAACAGTTCCTGCCTCAGTTTCCCCATATTCTCCCAGTAGGCAGCAGTGAGAGATAATTTATTATCTCATGTAGGGCTCTCAGTGTTGAAGAGGTAATAATGGTAAAGCACGTGAAAGATAAAATGCGGTAACCATTATCATCATAGTCCTGCTCCAGCCGGAACTCCCTTCTTCTCTGCAATCTAGAGTAGAAAACATTCCCTGGGAAGGCCGTTGCCAGGCACAGGGCTAGTCGCTCAACATGGTTGATGAATGGACAACTGAATGAAAACCTCCAAGTTTGTCTAATCCCACTCTTGGTTCTCCTTTGCATCCATACTCCATTACCCACATCAAATAGGGCACCCATGCAGTGGTCAACACTGTAGGGTGACTGCCCTCCACAAAGTGCCATTGCACCAAGGTTCAGTGTTAAAACAGTTAATCATATTTTAGTAAATCTGCAGGTGTTCCACTCATAGGGCATGTAATTACCCAGATGGATCATTCCCTAGTAGAAGTCCAAGTTAAGGTTTTGCAAAAAGGCCCTACAAGAGTATTAATGTCAACCATCACCAGCTGAGCCAGGGTTTCCAGAGGGCATAGCCTGTGTGGGCAGAGAGGAAACCTCTAAGATCTCTTATGCAGAATCAGAGCTGAATTCAGGGAGAGGGCTTTTCTGGGAGTGGCAAGAACAGAGGAGGAATGGGTGGTTCCCTTCCAAATAGCAAGCTGAGTCATTGGTTTGATGACGTCAGGAAAGAACGACCTTTGCTGCCACCTTTACTGCTTCTGAGCATCTCCAGCGCAGGAACAGGGACTGTCTGCACCTTGCTTCCAGCACGTGGCACAGGAAGAACCTCAGGGTCAGGCTTGGGCCCTTGGTCCTCCCCAGGGAACTCTACACTGTGTTTCACTGTGTGGTTCACACCATGCCAGGTCTCCATGTCTAGCCAGCCTGACCCACAGCATGGCCTCTCTCTTTATCCCCTCACTTCTCCTGCAGTAGTCAGCAAGCAGGAACAGGCCACTTTGAGTTTCTGGAGTATCGGAAAATGCCTTCGTAGGCTCCAGATTGAGGTCATGAAATTCATTTCACTTATACTGAGACCTCAGCCACAGCAATATTTCCTATGTCCAGGGGCACGAGGCTGGTTACCTCCTTAACCCCTGAGAGCTGTCAAAGTCCATTTGGGAATTTTGGTCACATCAGGGTCTAGCCATCCAGGGTGTGAGAACCTCAAACCTAGGTCAAGAAGTCTGGTGGGAAGAACCTGTTGAGTTCCTGGGACCATGGCATCCCTCAGAAGAGGGTAAAAAAGGTGGGCAGCAGCTGAACAACCAGGGAAAAAAAGCATTTTAATCCCATGTTAGCAATTTGTGAGCTCAGAGAGCTGGTAAGTAAGTTTTCAATCTGGTAATTGCTTATAACATTTACTTATTCAGCTACTATTTAGTGAGCACTTACCAGGTGGTGGATGCAGCTCCGCACAGGAACACAAAGTGCCACACAGCAGTGTGATAGCAACAAGTGACTGAGATGAGCAGGCCCAGGTCCCTGGGGACAAGAGGAGCAGCTGCATAACCTCAGAGGGGAGGGGTTCTCATAAGGGATGACAATTGGGCTGAATTTTGGATGACAAATAAAGTTAGGAAAGAGCATGAAATTTTCAGGAAAGTGCAGATGGTTTTAGAGAGAGGGAGATGTGGATAGGGGAGGGTGGGATGGACCTAAAAGGGTGGAAGAGGTCAAATTATCAAACCCTGATATGCTGGGCTAAAGATATTAATGTTGTTCTGAAATCCATGGGGAGCCAGTGACAGTCTGAATATGGGCAAGTACAAAATCAGGCTTAAATCTGGGAAAGATCACCCTGAGAGTGCTCAGTGAGGTCTAGGTTGGAGGGAGAATGAGTTACAAACTATTAAAATAATTCAGGTGAAGGATGATGATGGCTGGAACTCAGGCCATGACATGGAGATGGAGAGAGGAGGACAGGATGGAGAGAGAGTTGTGAGGGAGGAAGAACACCATGAGTGGGTACTGAACACCCTTAGGGGTATCTAAGTCTAGGAAGAGAGATGGCCAAAGTTGAGCCCATTGAGGGTGAGAGGTGCAGGCTTAGGGGAAAGATGATGGGCCAGCTTTGGACATGTTGGGTTTAAGTTTTGAGGAGCCTGTGACCATCCAGGTCATGGTGCCCACTGAACTCCTCCTTTATGTCCAGTTCTCAGGAGCCAGGAGATGCAGAGACAGAGCCCCACCCAGCAGCTGGCACTGTGCAGCTAGGCAGACTTGCTGCCTTGTGAGCAAGCTGGCCATGGTAAGGAGCACTGATTCATCCAAGAGGGAGGGAGTGGGGACTGCCCTGGCTCTTCCTGGGTTGGCAGAGACCATTTAGTACCCCTGGCACTTCTACCACCTTGCCAGGGCCCCTGAATGGGTTTGGCGATGCCAGTCTTCACTCAGTATCGTGGCAGTGACAGGTGGCAAGGGCATAAGTTTGCCAGATATCACAGGACAGCAAGTGAAGTTTGAATCTCAGATAAACAATAAACAAATAAATGCTTAGTATAAGTATGTTTCCAAAATTGTGTGGGATATACTTATACTAAAAAAAAGTATTCATTGTTTATCAACTTCAAATTAACTGGGTTTCTCGTATTTGTATTTGCTAAATCTAATGACTCTACAAGGGAGTGAAGCAAGGCTTACCTCCAGGAACTGATCCTACTAGGCACATAAAATTGCACTTGTGATAGCAGCAACATAATTACTCGGGCAGCCTGGACCTGTAGGCCCTGCCACATGCTCTCCTTTTCCAAGGGGGTCTTATGAACTGTACGTGTGTGTGTGTGTGTGTGTGTGTGTGTGTTGGAAAGGGGGAAAGGAATACCAATCTTTAACTGAAGGGTATAGGCTTTGGCATCAGCACACTAGTTGCCTCATAGCAGAACCCCAATAAATATTTGAATAAAGAGATGGAAGATGGATGGATAGATACAAATTGCTGTTCCACAAGCAGAATGACTTTGAATAAGTTACTTATCTCTCCGTCTCAATTTCATCATTAGTAAAATGGGGACGTTAAAACCTTCTTGCAGAAGTATTATGAAGACTAAATTTAAAATCTTGTGTGAAGTGTCAAGCACAGGCACTCAACAAATGTCCCATCCCTGCCCTGCCTCTGCTGGTCAGCCAGCTTGCATTCCCCCACCTTATCTACCTGTGGCCAACATGGACAAGAAGGAGATTCTCATGGATATGGCATCCTTCTGTAGTTGCCACCCTGACTTTGGCCCATGAACTGGGACAACTCAGGGACTGGGCCTGAAGTAGGAATAGAGATGTGCTGACTTCCATCATTTGATTTTAATTTTTTAATGCAGTGAGTAGAAGGTGGGGCAATTACAAGTGCTGTTCTCCCTAAGTGAGGATAAACTGTCTTTGTAAATTAATGTTCATTGACTGACAAGCCTTCACTCTCCATCCAAAGGCAGTTTCTGCAGGCCTTCTCAGTGAAGACAGCCACATCCAGGCCACAACCTGTGCATTCGCAGAGGTGAATTCTAACCAGACAAGAAGACATCCCACAGCTCTTTTTGCTGGCAGCACTTGAGAAACTTCCAAACCCCTCTCCAAGCCAAATGAGACCTGGGATCCCTGCGTTTCAGGTGTGCTGAGGAGGAGGAAGCAGGTGCATCCTCCAGGGCTTGGGTGTGATTTATCATTGTCATCAGCTTGCATTCATATTCCTTTTCAATTCTGCAGCACCTTCTGCAATGCTGCTTCCTGCTAGGCTGGTCACCACTCTTTTCCCCCAATCAACAGACTCACTTCTTATTCCAAGTCTGCATGTCTCTGCTCATTCCTCTGCTTGGAAACGCCCTGCCCCAGTGCTGCTCCAAGGCCTCTTCTGAGTTTCAGCTAAGGCTGAGCAACATCCTCTGACCTCTGGAGCTACATAGGGCCCTTACCTGTCTCAGAGTTCCCAAAGCAGGTGCATCTGCATCCTTCACCAGGGTCCCTTACTAAAATCTGCTTTGAGCTTACTACTTAACTAGTTCCTCTGAATGCCTTGTCCGCTCAACCTGATGGCAAGCTCTTGGAGGGAAAGGCAGAATGTGACATTTCTTTCCTGTCCTTCTCAAGCCCGAGCCTGCACTGACCCAGGAGGAAGCACTCAATGGATGATTAGAGAATGGGTGAAAGAATGGAGAGCCAGCACCAAGGATGTTCATTTGTCCAGAGAATTAGCATGGCTGCAAGCCTTGTGGGGAAGCAATTAAACAGACAGGGGTCCTGCCCTTCAGGGATTTATAAACTAACAGAGACAAGGTGACTCTGATAGAGAATGTAGAAGCATTCAGAGGAATGAGCAGGTGCTAGATAAACAGTTAAGTGTTTGCTTTATGTGCAAGCAAAGGGGCAAGCATATGTGGGGTGCTGGAAGAATAAAAAGGGAATCTCAAATGTGAGCTCATTCGTTTAGTCATTCAACAAAGGCTTCTAAGTGCCTCCTCTGAACTCAGCTCCATGCTGCTAGCTGAGGATGTACGGATGAATGAGTCTTGCTTCCTGCCCCTCAGGGCCTCACAATCGAAGTGAGTAAACATTTCCCCTCATCCAGACAGAACCAGACAGCCTTCTTTGCAAGGTCAGATTTTAAGATCTGCTGGTATGGGAGGGTAGAATTAGAAAGAACTGAGAGTGCAGGACATTTCGGCTTGCCAATCATAATAAAAAGCAATCAGTGTGTAGTTATTATTGGTTGACAGAGCCACAAAAGATGCACCCAAAGAACAAACAACTCAAAAACAAAACAAAACAAAAAACAAAACACACATCCGGAGACTTGAAGTGGCAAAGTATGTGGTGCAATCCACCTAGGAGATGCTGGAGGTGCTGATGCCTACACTTCCCCTTCACCCTCTCACTGTGGGGCCCAGCACTGTGGAATAATAGCGCTGCGTGCCTCAACTCTCTTCCCCATCCTGATGTCAAAGAGGAAGCGAGGGAGATGGATATAGTGGTGCAGGGAACTGGGGGAGTGAGGGTCTAAAACCAGGTGTCCATTGAACAGGGTCTGTGTGTGTCCAGCTTGACCAGGGAGGAGATGCAAAGGGAGGGGTCCTACCTGGGGAAAAGTTAAAGGAAAAGGGAAAAGGGCCAAGGAGGTATAGAAAGAAAGGCTGGGGATGCAGGGATGAATGCTCATTTTCTTTTCTTTTTACCATGAGATAGCTCCCCTCCTGAGAAATTCTCTTTAAAATGGAACAGAAAGACATAGCTCTGAATGGCAGCTCTGGCCTGGAGCTGGACCCCTGGAAACCACAACCCTACTCCATCAAAGTCCATTCTTTATATTTGAGCCGAAAAGCCTCCTACCAGGCTTAAGCTGTCAATCTTGCCCTTCTCCACCCCAATCCATCTCACTTCACTACATGCACATGTGCACATGAATGTGCACACACAGCACACACACACCACACTGGCCTTACCACACCACCCCGTGGGGTTAGGGGGAGCAGTATGTTGGAGACCAGGGTGGCCAGCCACTCCCTTTGCTAAACTGAGACAGTCCTGGGCAATCTGGACGCTTGTTCACCCTACAGTGGCCTGACTCCTCCAGGCTTGGACAGCAATGTCCTAGCGCCAGGCTAAGTGGCCTCCCTGGGCATTTCCTCCCCAAGTTCCCTCTGCCGTCTCAGTCCTGCTCCTCTTATGCATCCCTTGGCAGAGAGGAGAGGACCAGGCCCTCCAGCATCAATCTGCTGGACTTCAGAAAACCTGTCCTGTTGTGATGGATTTTTTAATTGGATTGTGACAAACATTTAACACCTAATAGAGCTCTTACCCGCACAGCTAATTAAGAATGTGACTAATCTAATTTAGTGAGAGTGCAGAAAAAAAGAAGGGAAAGCCAGGAGAAGGGGTAGCAGGATTTGGGAAGATGGGGGTGGTTGGAGTTGCAAAATGACTATAGAGCTTATTTTTTGTTCAGTGTGAGGTGGGGACTCTGACACATAATGTAGAAAGATTGCATTAAGTTTGCAAGACAGAAGCAAAATGTTGGCAAGTTGCAGAGCAGCCAGGCAGACAAGGACCTCTCTTAGCTTCTCACTCTGTCCCATTGTGCACGTCGGCTTGTCGCCGCTGGCTTGTTAGCAATGCCTGAACGAACGGGCTTTGTGGATCCTCTAAAGCTCTATGGATAACTGCTGAGTATTACAAGCCTCGTTATGAACCTGCCTCACAGAGGGTAGCACGGCTTGGCACTGCCAACCCAGAGCCAGTGGGCCCTGTAACCCTTTGTGGAACCCCATTGTCATGGCAGACAGCAGTGTGAGCACAAATATTGCATTCATCACTCCCCTTAACTACACAGGTGCATACACACACAATTGCATTACGTGAGTGTGCAGTGTAAACACGCTCATACGTGTATGCTGTACACTTCAACCATACAGGTATCACGGTGGTTCCACACAGCAGAAATGCACACACACGCACATAAGGTGTACACACAGATGGAGTTACCAGCAGAGAAATACACATGGAGCATATCTGCACATCCTTCATAGGTACGTGACCTGAACATGGGACCCCTTCTGTCTACAAGAAAAGCTTATCTCTTCCTTAGCCTTGCTGCTACCTAAGCAGGAACCTCCCACTCTCCTCCTGCGGTCTAAGTGTCTGCTTTCTGGGTAGGATGGGGCATAGCTATTAGACAACTGTCACTTTCATTCTGGCAGGTAGCTCCATGTACAGGGATGGGAAGGGGACCTGTGGGAGGACACTGGGCTGGTGTTCTGTGACTCTGGGCAATGAAAGATGCCCTGGAAACACTGGATGCTATCAACATCACACCTGACTGTGGGGAGGATGCAAAAGGGAGGGCTCAGTGTCAGGGTTACCTTTCAAAGGCAGTGGTGGGGGGAAATGTTAATCCCTAATATGCATGGTGCCATAGTAACTGCTGGGGAAGAAGAACTATTTTGAGTTTCTCTCTGTTGCAGCACAGTGCAGGCACTGCGCTGAGCTTTACAAATGTACAGCTTTCATATTCCGATCCTTAATGGCAGGTGATAAGATTAGGGCAAGAAAGCTGTGATTTAACAGTTTCCAGGCACTTGATATCTCACCAGGGCTCAGCTACCAATTGTCTGCATTAATCCCCAAGGCAAACCTGAGAGGCAGGTGGGTGGGATTGAGCTACCTTTTGTCTCAGGAAAGGGAAAAGCCAAGCCCCTTGAGCATCAGCTTCTGGAGGCAAGAGGGCTTTTTCCCCAGTGCGCACCTCACCACCTCCATACTCAGCTCCGAGCCAGCTGAAGCCCTCACTTTAACTGTCCCTCCAGAGAGAGGCCAGGGCACCTCCCAGCTAACCTGGTGAGTGTTGAGACCAGCAAGCGGAGCAGGCCATGCAGACCTGGCTGTGTGTGCAGAGTTGGGACAGCTGGCAGAACTCTCATCGGAACTGAAACAGAGGAAAGGTCTCCCCATAGGACTGAAAAGGGACTGGGGATGAGGATCACGGCTGGAAATGCCAGAAGACTCACCAGCAACAACCAAAAAGGCTAGAAAAGAGGAAAAGCAGCCAGGAAGGGAAAAAATCCTATTTCTCCCTTCTTTCTCCACTTGTCTACTCCTAGTTGATAATTATTCCTTACCTTGGTATGGGCATTTACTATTCTCAGAAGCTTTCACATATATGGAACTCTTGAATACAAATGCCACAAAGAACCATGGGACTCTCCTGCACATGGAGCTAGTTAGAATTGGAGCCACAAGAAGGACCCAGAACTCCTTGATCTCAAACAAGAGCTAGCTCTTCTACACAGGACCTCACTTAACCCTCCTGCGACACTAAGAGGAGGCAAGCATTGTTCCCATTTTCCAGGTGAAAGGACTGAGGCTCAGAGGGTAAGTGACCAGTCACACCTGAGGCCACTCAGAAAATAAGTAGCCGAGATAGGATTGGGGGTTCAGTGTGTGCAATCCCAAGGGAATGCTTTTTCTACTTCTCCCTTGCTGGGCTACTCTTCATTGGCAAGAAGTATTAAGACAGGCTGAAGAAAGAAGAGCTGGAGTATAACTGGAACATAACTGCACTGCTGTTCCTTAACTGCCAGACGGCATGCTGTGCTGGCATGCAAAACTGAGGGGAGTATGTCAACAATTGTGGCCAGAGTGCATTCAGTGAGGGTTTCCTGGGTGTCTTCTACCTCTACCTCCCCTGTGGCCTCTAAGCAACTTTCTTAGATTTCCCTTCATTGCCTCCTCGTGTTTCTGCTCCTGGGCACTGCTGTCTCTCTTTGGTTGGGTGAGGCAAAGTGATCCTCCGTTATTTTGTGACTTTGCTTTCTGGAAGTAGCCACAGGAAGAAAAACTCATCCCCACAAGGGAACCTCCCACCAGGGCACATCACTCCCTCCCAGGGCTGGGCACCAAAGCAGGGACCCTTTCACAACAACATCGACAACATCACAGGCCTTTCCCCGCATTAGAAAACCTCTCAGCAATTGCTTCCCTGACAACTCTTTACCAGGAGGAAAAGCCAAGGCCGGCAGGGAGGAGATGAAGATGGAGAGAAGGGGCAAGGAGAGACAGAGTTGTGGCAGGGGTAGGCTCGGGCTGGAACAAAGCCATGTTTACCACTTCCTGGTGCAGTGACCTTAGCCAAGGCAGTATACATTTTGAACTTCATCTATTAACTGGGAATTAAAAACCTCTGCACACCTCGCTAGATTCTTGTTGGAAAGAAATAATAGATAGGAAAGAGGTTTGAAAATGGCAAAGGGCTACTGAAATGAAAGGTGTTTTTTATTAAGTAGAGAAGAAGGAAGATCAAGAGTGACAGAGAGAGGAAAGAGAAGCCAGGGGGCTAGGAGTAAGTGCCAGCAGGAATGAGTGCTTTCCTACCGAGAAGTGCATTAGGCACTGTCAAATGTTCATTCTGTTCTAGACAATCATAAAGAAAAAGCTGTTCCTAATGGGCATCAATTATAAGTTAGTTTGTGGCATCTGTGATTGGGTTATATCATAGCAATTCTTTTCATTATTTCCCCAACCCCAGTCCAGTACACAAAATTTCCTGTTTCTTACCCTCAGCCATCCTAGAAACAGCATCCCTTCCTAAGGATGAGGGAGGTGGTGTTGAGTAACAGTCCCCCTGGAAGGTGGGCTGAGGTGGAATAGTGTAATTTTGTGCTCCCCAGATATAGGTCTGCCTAGTGGGTGAGTAGAGGGGGCACGTGTTAAGCACACAGTTTCCTTGCCCTACCCTATACCTACTGAATTCACATCTCCAGAGGAGGGCCCTAGCATCTGTATTTTTAAAAAATACACAGCCATGTTTGAAAACCACCACTTTATCTCATGCCCTCCCAGTCACAGGGTCCAGTCTGCAGGCTTAGCTACCTTCTCGTCATTCCTCATTTCACAGAAAGGAGTCTCCTCTGGAGGACACAGTGCTGAGATAGTCCTGATTCCCTGCTCTGCCCACCTCCCCC